GAAAAACAAGGGAAATGGACCCTCCTTTTAGGAAAATAATGAGGAGGTTCAGGGCCCCTTGTCCTTCCTCAGAAAGCTTAGGTCTACAGTCCATGGCCCCATCTTTTTTTAATATATTTTATTGATTTTTCACAGAGAGGAAGGCAGAGAGATAGAGAGCTAGAAACAATGATGAGAGAAAAACACGGATCAGCTGCCTCCTGCACACCTCTCACTGGGGATGTGCCCACAACCAAGGTACATGCCCTTGACCGGAATCGAACCTGGGACCTTTCAGTCCGCAGGCTGACACTCTATCCACTGCACCACACCGGTTTTGGCGGCCCCATCTATGTAAGGTCTGGGTCCTCCCACTGGAACTCTTAACTGCGCTGTAGGCAAGACTCTTCAAGTTTGAGCATCTAGGCTTTCTGAAGATACCAGTGAGGAACAAGAAATCACATACAACTCATCATCTGATTCTCAGGACTCCCCCCCACACACACACAATGCCATCCCCTCAGAAAGACAAGATAGGCTGGTTTGGGAGTGAGCTGGTCTCTGGAGTCTCTCCCACAATATCCTCCTTCCCCATTCAGCTCTACACCTCGGTTTCAACAATTCCATCCATGCACATAACGGGGACATTATTGTGTGGCCAGGAGCTCACCAAATCTTTTGCTAGAGAGAAGCCTTATAACCAAGGACTTACAGTAGTAGCCACATGGAAACTAGATCCATCATGGTGTTGGATCATGAATGGAAGAGAAGAGCATCTTATATTTCCAAAGAGTTTTAAAAAAGAAACAAAACAAACAAACAAAAAACCCACAGTTGTCTTGGTTTCCTGTGTTTTCCCAAATGCACCGGTTTGATTCTGAGTGAGAGATCATGAAAAATTAAAACTCCAGAAATTCTCAATTCAGGGGATTAGAAATGGGTCACCACAATCGATCTGGTGCCACAAGCTTATATTGAACACTCTCTGTGTGCCAAGGGCTACAAATAAAAATCGCATGGAAACAAATTACATTGGATTATAAATATGAAATGGCACTGTCTTTGGCATCAGCACCCCTGCGTCCCCAGCTGTGCACACAGGAGCTTTGGGGGGGGTCACTCTTCTTAGTGGATTCCCATGCTTTCCGAGGTAATTGGAGACTTAACCAGGTTGTATGTACATAAATACTAAAAATAGTGAATATTACTATAGGCAAGTGCTTTGCGTGAATTAACTTATTTAATCCTCATGATAAATAAAGCATGATAGATGAAGTTTGGAAAAGACCGTGACTAGGCAATTAATACTTAACCATCATAACAGCATAAGTAGGTCTATTATTTTACTTAATGTTTTATTATTATTTAAAAGCTAATAAGATGTAATATCCTTCAAAAGCCCTCACTCGTACAATCCCTCATCTATAAGTGATACTTATGCTGTTTGTCAGCTTATGAGCTGTGTTGTGATTTACTTATGATCCTAAATAAATATTCACTTTAGCACCTAAAAAAGAGGGGAGGCTGTTTTGTTCTTGCTAATAGAGCAAGAAGAAAAATCATAAATATACTAGCAAAAAGAATAAGACTAGAGAAAGCAAGAACACTACTGTACAGTTCATTATGAACTGGTTCACCTCTTCTTTCAAACCATCCGGCAGAAGTATTAGTCATAAAAGTGTTCATACCCTTTGACCTAACAGTCTGACTCCAAGAAATCTATCCCAAGGAAATAAAAAAATTACATAAACTCTGTGTCAAGATATTCCTTCCCATTAGTGTTTTTCTAACAAAATGCAGAGAACAACCTGAAATTTTTAACAATAGGAAATCAATCAGTAGGTTGCAGTTCCTTAACTCAATTAAAATTTATATGCCCAGGCCAGCCGGCACGGTTCAGTGGTTGAGCGTCAACCTATGAACCTGGAAGTCATAGTTCGATTCCCGGTCAGGATACATGCTCAGGATGTAGGCTCGATCCCCAGTGTGGGTGTGCAGGAGGCAGCCAATCAATTATTCTCTGTCATCATTGATGTTTCTGTCTCTCTCTTCCTCTCCCTTCCTCTCTGAAATCAATAAAAACATATTTTTTCAACAAAAAAATCAAATCTAGAGTTTTCATAACCCTTAAGGAACTAACAGGTGAGTAAGAAGAAAAGAGGAATTGTTCTTCTTGAATATAAAAGTTGGAATCACTCTAGTAATCCAGCCATTGTGTCTATAAATATTTATAGGCTTTGATCCTATTATAAAATATTCTCTTTTACTAAAACAACAAAATAAAACAAAACAAAAGGACCTCTTTACTTTCCTGTTTTCCCCTTTAATCCAGAGCATTGCAAGCCCGGCCTATAATCAAATAAAAATAAAGAATGAAGAGCATCAAAATGCTTTTCATCAAAACAATAAGTCATCGTCACAGGCAATGTGGCCAAATGTATTTTGTTCCTACCATCCTTGCAGAAATGTGCTGAGTAGGAAAAAAAAAAAAAAAGTCTACAAAATAAATGAGCTGACTAGAGAAAAACAAATGCTACAAAAGAAATGTGCCAGCTTGTGAAAAATATAAACTCCTACAAAAGAAATATGATTACTAGCAGGGGAAAAAAAACCCACAAGACACTAACGTTGCTATATATGCTTTTATAGGTTTATGACACTCAGCAGACCCATGCACAGTGGTCCTGTATTTATCTCTTATCTCTGACACAACCTTTTGGGGAGACCTGGGGAAGACCCCACACAGGTGGGAGGGCAAAGCTTTATCCCTGCTGGGGACCCCAGGTTCATATGCTTATGAAGCATAATCTCAATGTTAAGGCAGGCCTGGGAAGGACCAAAATATCAAACAACTGATGAATGAATAAACAGAATGTTGTATGTCCATACAATGGACTATTATTTAGACCTAAAAGGGAATGAAGTACATGCTACAATGTGGATGTACTTTGAAAATATTACACTAGTCCAGCCGGCGTGGCTTAATGGTTGAGAGTCAACCTATGAACCAGGAAGTCACAATTCGATTCCTGGACAGGGCACATGCCCGGATTGCTGGCTCCATATCTAGTGTGGGGCATGCAGGAGGCAGCCAATCAATGGTTCTCTCTCATCATCTGTCTCTCTCTCCCTCTCTCTTCCACTCTGAAATCAATTAAAATATTTTTTTAAAAGAAAATATTGCCGAAACCAGTTTGGCTCAGTGGTAGAGTGTCGGTCTGCGGACTGAAAGGTCCCAGGTTCGATTCCGGTCAAGGGCATGTATCTTGGTTGTGGGCACATCCCCGGTAGGGGGGGTGCAGGAGGCAGCTGGTCGATGTTTCTCTCTCATCGACGTTTCTAGCTCTCTAGCTTTCTCCTTTCCTCTCTGTAAAAAAATCAATAAAATATAGAAGCTCAACAAATTACCACATGTCCTATGGTTCCATTTATATGAAATGCCCAGAATAGGCAACTATAGAGACAGTTAGTAGACTGATGGTTGCTTAGGACTGGAGGGATGGTGGTGATAGCTAAAAAGAACAAGGTTTTCTTTTTGAGGTGATAAAAATGTTCAAAAATTGACTGTGTTGAGAGCTGTACAACTCTGTGAAATCAATAAAAAAACAAAACAGTAAATTGTACACTTTTCACAGATGAATTGCATAGTGTGTAAATTAAGTATCAATGAAGCTGTTTAAAATATTTTTCCAGGCAGGCAAAAGACATTAGGCAACTGGTTTTGGTGTTGTGTTTAAAATTAATAAAAATCATCAACATTACGTAAAGAATAACAAATCCTAAATCAGTCTTATTTCTATCAGGACAGATAAAATATTTAAATATACTGAACAAATGCTCCTTTTAAAAGCTCAATACAATTATCACTGAATCTTTTACAGAGGCAATTTAAAACCATTAAATGTCTAACGATTTTTGGTCACTTAGGCAAACACTTGAACAAAGCAGTGTCAAACGTTTGAAAACATCTGAAAGTCAAAGTCGTTGCTAATAGCCACAAAGAGGAAAAATTCTTATATCCTTAAAGAAAAAGTCACTTAGGGAACAATGGTTTCTTATCCAGAGAAAGCAGGGAGAATGTGTACCCTTTAAAACTTTTCCTTTTTCAATTTTATCTTTGCTAAGAAGCTTTCTATGCCTTAGAAGCTGGTTATTATCCTTAAAGGAGAAACATGTTTCTGATCTGATTCTTCTTTGAGTTAAGAAGGCATTTTTCTCAGACATTCTTCAAACTTCACAGGAATGATGCTGGATGCCCGATACTGGCCTCCCTCCTCTGTAGATAGCCCTGTTAGGACCTTGCGTACTATGCCTTTCATCACACTTTCTCCCCTTGTTCTGAGACCCCGGAGGCCAGGGCTGCTATTTGTCCCGGTCCTACCATTATCTGTGGAATCTAGCATGGTATGCAAGTTATTCAAAATATATTTATTAAATTGAATTAAGTGCTTTTGGGGGGTTTTGACTTTAAGTTATTCTCATAGAAATATGTTCATCTATAGGCATACTTGCACAGACATTAGAGTAATCTTATCAGGAGTGGGAGATTAGCAAATATCAGTAGATCAGCAAACATGGCATCATATTTTCCTCTCCCCATGCTGGAGCCACTTTGGGAAAGGAGAAAGTGACTTCTGAGGCCTACCTGCTATCATTCTCAAGAAGTTCCTAAATTAGCGGCACAAGCCAGTTGGACATGAAACAAGTAAACAGGGGGTGGGATCCAACATAATGGAGAGATTCTAAAGAACCGAGTTGGAATCAGGGCTCTCCCAGCGAAAGATCGTGTCCAGGAACATGGGGAAATCTCAAACAGCCCACTGGACAGGGTGTCATGGAGATCAATGGGAAGGGGCATCCACGTGTGTCCCACCAGCCCCTCCAGGGAAAGGAACTAGGGAGCAGGAGGTTAGGGGGAGACAGGTGAGAGGAAGTCTGGAAGGAAAGTGGGGGGCGGGGAGGTGGAAGGGGCAAGGCGAATGACACCCCATGTCTTAAAGCAAACCATCTGAGAAACTTACTTAATATTGAATTTTCCGTTTTGAAAACAGTTCTTCTTATTCCCAGCCTCATCGTTCCTCCCAAGTTGCCAGGGTTGTGTTCCGGCATGTCAATCACCTGAGAAAACAAAACAAGTCTGGTTTTGGCATCTCATACAAATGTCATTTCCCAAATTTCAAGTTACACTTCAAGAGTCATGATCATTGGGTAAGGATCTTCCCTAAACAGGAAAGTCTGATATACCTTCCAATTCTCTTATTCAAATCCATCCCTACTTTATACAGGCCTTACAGTATGTTTCCTTCCCGTGTCTGCTTCTCATCTTTCATTCAAATCACTAGTAAAAAATGTATAAGGGGCGTCTTTATCACCTTCCTCCCATCATTACTCGACCTCTGGGTAACATTCACACTTCAAGTTCTGGATGTCTGGGGCCTCAGAATATGGTATTCACTCCCTCCCATAATCACCTCCGTCTCCCACTGCCCACTCAAGATGTTCCATAAGCAGATCTGTCAATCTTTGTGGAAATGTATACTTAAAGTATTTATTTGTAGAAACCATTAGAAGGAGGTCATTCTGGCACACTGTCTAGGTCAGACACCTAAGTGCCACCCTGGAGGTCTCCCTCTTCCTCATTCCTCATATCCTAGCTGTCCAATCCTTTCGATTTCCCCCTCCAGACTTCCTGCATTCATTCACAGCTCCGACTGCCACTCAAACTACTGCCCCTCACCCAAGCTACAGCCAGAGCTGACGGACTGGCTGCCGCCTATGCACATGGTCCTCATCCTCTCCGTACACCTCAGGCAGAGTAGATGTGGTTCTGCTCCTGCTTGAAATCCTTGGCTGCATGGTATCAGCCCAGCCGAGTCCTCCAGCCTCACCTCCCGTGACCTTCCACACACACTCTGAGCTCTGGTCACTATGGCCTTCTTTCAGGTCCTCCTATTTCCTCTGCCCAGAACATCTTCTCCCACTCCTCTACCCTTTTTTCCTAAATCACACCACCCTCAACCTTGAAATGTTAGCTCAGCTAGACAATACTACTGCCCCAATGCACGAATTAGTGCACAGTGAAAGGAAATGAATTAGAAGGTGGCCGGCAGAGCGGGACTGGGCAAGATGGGCCGGACACACCCTGGAACCAACCTCTCATGGTCCCTCCCCGACCAGCCGCACCTGTGGCACTGTGGCTCAAAAGTAGTCTGCAGAATGAGTGGGATCCCTCAGGCAGGAGGGTTCCCTCAGCCTGGCCTGTGGGAATTGGGCCGAAACCGGCCCTCGACATCCCCCAAAGGGTCCCGGATTGCGAGAGGGCGATTCTCGGGTGACACAACCCAGAATTGGTCTCTCTCCTCTCTGGTTCAGGGGTGCGTCACCCGAGAACTGCTGCTGCCAAGTCACAGGAGCTCAGCAGCTCCTGCATTGAGCCTCTGCCCCCAGTGGTCAGTGTGCATCATAGCTACTGGTCAGACGGTCTCTTAGCCTTTTGTGTATATATAGTTGAGCTTCTACAGGCAGTGATATTCCTGGACACCACAGTCTAGTCAGGGTCCTCTCTCTATACCTGCCCTGTCACTACACATCCGTCAGTTGAGGTCTATAGAGCACTCTGTGTGCTTCACTGTAAATCCTTGAGAGTTGCAGCATGCTGCTTTACTTACCATTGTGTTCCTAGCCCCTGGTACATATGGAACTGGTATAGGGTATGCACGGAGTGAATGAACGAACAAACTCAGATTTAGTTTTACGATTACTTCACAGAAATTCAGAAACACGTGATTTTTATGACAACCCTATTCTCATTATCATTGCTGTTTTCTCAGTTCTGTTCACTGCAATCTCATGGTTTTTGTTTCATCCATTTTTTCTACATGGTTAGAGTATAGTTGGGCGAGTTAACTTATTCTAATGAAATTGTTCAGGCTTCCCTCTCATAAAAAAAAACCTTTCTTCCTGGTGTTTTCTCCCCCATACCCTAGCTACCACATACTGCTCTACAGAAAGCACTGGCAACTGGAATTGCTGAGATAAAAAGTTTCCAAGAACTTGTCTGATCTTATCAATGCCCCAGAAGAATTTTCCGAACCCGGTGTCCCAGGTATGCTCTAAAAGTCACAGAGGAGAAGGGGTGGAGAAAAAAACTTGATTACACCCCCTGCTGAATGGAGTGCTCAGCTCTGAAGTGCTCTTGGCCTTGGCATCTCTGTCCTGCCCTCTCTGGTTGATTAATTATGCCTAGATTAAGTATTACTGAAGGGAGGTGACAGAGGGCATGAGCTTCCAGTTTGCAAATGCCTGGCCCCTTGTGTGTTTTCTAGAAAAGGGCAGAGAAGACTGCCACACACTTGTAAGAAGTCCTAAGCTTATCCACAGCCCCGATTTCCACTCATGTTGGAGACAACGTGAACGAGCTAGGAAGATCTCAGCAATAAGCTCCTCCTAGTTGCTTCTTTTGAGTGTACTGTGATTTTCTCAGTTCACTCTTACTTACTGCATTAGGCCCATCTACTCAGAAGGAGTCTTTTGATGTAGTTTGCTCACTTATTGGCACAGTTAGCATTCAAGAAATGTTCTGATATGAACCACTGAGAATAGACTCAAATGACTCAGGAAGCCTGACTTACTTCTTACTCAGGATGAGCTTGACAAGCACCTCAAGACCAGAAACCATTTCCAAAATAAAAGTGGGGGAGGGGAGAGAAGGGAAATGCAGTGGGCACCGGGGCTGTCCAAGGATGTTAAATACTCCTCCAACACAGGGGAAAGTCTGGAAATTTCTAACAGCAATATGAGAATATTATTTAGAAACACTGAGGTAGGCATCAAAAGAAACAGCTGGAAAAGTTGAGGGTGGTAGAGAGGAGGTGAGGATTGCTGAATTTTTCCATTAAAAGGCCTTCTGGAACTGTTGGCTTTTAATGAAAATACAAATGGAAGGCCCAAATAGTGAAATGTATCATTTAGGCCTCCTACCGGGGTACTAGTTCACATGATCCCTGCTGTTTTCAGAAGCAAGAAATACAAACTTCTCCTGAGATGATAGCACAGAAAGAAATCCTAAGGTGTAACAGCTGCAGAGAGCCTTCGGTTAAAACATGTTAGCATAGAATCCAGTGAAGAAGACGAAGAAAATGTTAGAGAAATGCCCTAGCAGGTTTGGCTCAGTGGGTAAAGCGCCGGCCTGCAGACTGAGGGGTCCCAGGTTCGATTCCGGTCAAGGGCATGCACCTTGGTTGCAGGCATATACCCAGTGGGGGTGGTGCAGGAGGCAGCTGATCGATGCTTCTCTGTCATCGATGTTTCTAACTCTCTATCCCTCTCTTCCTCTCTGTAAAAAATCAATAATTAAAAAAAAAAAAAAGAAAGAAAGAAAGAAAGAAAGAAAATGTTAGAGAAAAGATAGGGGGGGAAGTAGCATTCCAACTCTAATGATGCCTTGAATGTCAGCGAAAGGAGAGAAGCAGAGCGAGAACTGACAGGAGAGTTGCCCTCTGGCCTGGCTTAGGAGGCCTCGTCCAGGGCGGCCCATCACATAGTCAGTCAAAGAACATCCAAGCACAAGCTGATGGAATCCAAACCCTCAGGAAAGGTGAAATTCAAGAAGATAAGAGAACACAGTGCATTTCTGGCCAAGCCTGCCCCAACCAGCCACCCTGCAGAATAAGCAGGCAATCCTGAAAGCTCTGAAGATGATAATATGACGGCCTCGTAGGGTATAAGCAACCTGACTAAACATCAAAATGAAGGAAAACATCTTTGTCCCTTCCACCAAAAGCCTGAAAGACCGGAGATTATCACAGTTTCAAAACATTGTTATCATTCCTGAGGTGGTGAAAAGAACCTCAAACCTGCTTTAGGTTTAATCCCAACATTTCCATCATTCCCTAGATCTTGCATCTAAGACAAAAAAAAAAAAAAAAAAAAAAAAAAAAAAAAAAAAAGCCTCTTCCATTGATAAAGGAGTGCCTCAGCCTGCCTGAATAAACACAGGCCGTCCTATGATCCCCACTACAGACCTGTGCTTTCTTGGAACCGAGTTATATAGCATAAGAAAAAATAAAAGAGGATCAATAAGTAACGAATATTGGCGGTGATAAAGGAGATGTAAAAGCACCACATAAGGATAAATAAGCACTCATTAACCTTTACCAAAGTTTCTGCAGCCCATAATAAAAGTGTAATGGGTTCAAGATGTCATGAGTCCTTGGCACCTTAACAGTCTAGGAAAGCTAGGTTCGCTTATCAGAGAAGACATTCCTCAACGGCAGTAGGTGAAGGAGCATAACCCTTCTGACAGAGCCCTGGCGAGGCTGACTGCCCTGCCCTCATACCCCTTGACATTTCATTTGGGGGCACTGGGGGGAGCCTACCCCCCAAAACCATTTCCAACCTCTTAGACAACACATACAGTGATTCTTTCAAAATTTCTAGTATATTCCTTTACAAAGATTCCCCAAATCTTTTTTTTTTTTTCCCTCTGCACCCCAGGGGAAAATTTTTATTTAAAACTGCTTTTGTGTGTGTGTGAAACTGTAAGTTTACAAGAGAGAACTGCCCAAACCCGTGCCTGTGCCTCACGCCCCTCACCCATCAGTCCCAACGGCCCACAGTTTTGCCGGATCTTTGACGGGAGGGGTTCCCCATGGTGAGAGTCTGTGAAATCCTGATGCTGTTGGAGGGGTTCAGGGCCAAGGACGGGGCAGCGGTGACTTTACTTCCCTCCGTACCTGGCTTTTTGCAGCCTCTCTCCTCTCCCCACCCTCAGGATTTTGGACTGAGAACAAAGATAACTCGTTTCTGGGAAAATTGAAGGAGATAACACGCACAAGCATCCCAACCCACACTCATTTCACCATCACCCTTCCCCCTTCTTCCCTCCAACCTGCATAGTTCAAAAAAAAGACATGTCACAGGGGTTGAGAGAGGAGGGAGAACGGGCCAGCACGCAAGCCCCAGCTTGTCCCCCTTTCTCTTATCATGACCCCTTTTGCTGTCTCCCCTAATATGGGAAAGCCAGTAATTAAGGTAAAAAAGAAACCAACATATAAAAGCATCTACTTCCCAAACTCAACTAAAAATTAAGAACCAACACCAACAAAATACAGATGGAT